GAAAGAGTAGAATAAAGAGGGACGGGACATGGGCAATCAAACACCAGGGATGAAAGGGGTGGGACACGAAGGATGATGTAGGAGCAAATGAGGGAGGCGTTGCCCACAAAATCGGATTCGTTACCTGGTGTGCAACAAGCCAATAATTACACATTCGAGAGAGACACTATTTATTTCAGAATTCCGCAAGCCTGGGTGCTCGGTGGTACTCCACAAATCAAGCTCAACCACTAGATTTTCACGAGAGCAGGGAGCCACGGGGAACGATGGGAACAAGGACGCGGCTCAGCCAGGGCACAGCCCGCCCGGAAGCTACTGCGCATCGCGCGCCGGAGCGGCCGCCCCCGCGCGCGTCCCCGCGGGCGCCCCGCCCCGCGCACGCGCAGTGTCGGGGCCGAGGTGGCTTCCGGCGGCGGCGGGGCCGCCCCGCCCTCTCTGCCCCGGGTCGCCATCATGGTACGTGCGGCACGGCCGCCGCTCCGCCGGCCCGGGCCGTTCCCGGGGGGGCTCCCGCCGCGGTTCCACCGCCATCCCACCACCCCGCCGGAGCCCTCCCGCCTGCGCCGCCCTGCGCCGGGCCGGGCGGCGGCGGGGGGAGTCCGTGGCCGCCTCAGCCGCGCCGGGCCGGGGCCGGGACCCGCGTGGGGCGCGTTGTGCGGGAATGGCGGGGCCGGGCTGGGAGCGCTGCGGGGCCGCGGCCCCACTGCTCAGGCGAAGGGGTTTCGTGCTGTTCGAAAGCTTTCCAGTGCCTGAAGGGAACTGATGGGGCAAGACTTTACAACAGCATGGAGTGACAGGGCGGGGGGGGAATGGGTTCAAACTGAAAGAGAGTAGATTTAGATTGGATATTAGGAAAAAATGCTTTACTGTGAGGGTGGTGAGGCACTGCAACAGGTTACCCAGGAAGTTCTTGATGCCCCATCCCTGGCGATGTTCACGGCCAGACTGGACGGGGCCCTGAACAACCTGGTGTAGTGAAAGGTGTCCCTGCGCACGGCAGGGGGTTGGAACTAGATGATCTGTAAGGTACCTTCCAACCCAAACCATTCTACGATTCTTTTGGGAAGATCTTTTAAAGGCTCTGAGAGCCTAGAATCTGTAAATGGCCTTAGGTGTGCTTTCTCTTAATTGTCAATCCCTGCCTGCTCTCTCAGGTGTTCAAGCGCTTCGTGGAGATTGGCAGAGTTGCCTACATCTCCTTCGGGCCACATGCTGGCAAGCTGGTGGCCATCGTGGATGTTATCGACCAAAACAGGGTAAGCTTTGAGTGCTGTGCCTTTATTTCCTCCTTTCTGCCTTGACAGAAGCTTGTATGCTAAGGCAGCATGTATCAATCTTGAAGGAAATTTCCTGTGACCAGTTTTTTCAAAATATAAGCAGTTTACAAAAAGATGAGTTTTAACAGCTGTTGTACTTGAAACTTTGATTAGCAAGTTGTTTTTCACTGACAAGTGATACATTCCCCTGCTGTTTCCTAGAACTGGATAAGGGATGTCAGTTGGACTCCAAAACTTATCAATGGAATTGCATTAATGTATGTGTAAAACAAATGTTTGGGCTAGGGGACTCTTTACTTAATGTTTCTGAAAAAGCTGGAAGAAAAAAAGATAAAGTATGTTATCTTAGTTCTGTGTGCTTTGTTTTAAAGTTTGGTTTGTTTCTTTCCCAAAGACAGGCCTTTAAAATTCTTTCTGTAAAGCTTGGGTTGTATAGGCAAGACTTAATAATCTCCAGTTTTGCCTATGTAACATGTATTTCACTTTTGGATCATTGGTGTCAAGATACTGTTCATACATTATTAGGAAGCTGCTCTCTTATGTCAAATACAATGGGATAACTGCTACAAACCCCACTTTTTTTCCCTTTTTCAGGCACTGGTTGATGGCCCCTGCAGTGGTGTCAGGAGGCAGGCCATGCCCTTCAAGTGCATGCAGCTGACTGACTTCGTTCTTAAGTTCCCACACAGGTGAGTGGTTGGCATTTTTTTGACCTGTGTAAAAAAAATCCTTGTGCCGTCCTTTCATGACTAATTTGTGCGAAGTCTAGAAAAGTTCATACACCAGTGGATTAACAGTAAAAGTTTGTCAGAATGTGGTATCATAGTTGAATATATAGAAGTTTTGATTACTAGTATCAGCTGATAGCTGCTGTTCAGGAGCAAAGGAAGTCACACAGAGGCTCAGGCAGCTCGCAGTGTTCTGTGGGGGGAAGCAGTTGCAGTAAATGCTGTTGCAGCTTTGCCTTTGCTACTGCTTAGGTCACCATCATGCATTAAATAGATTCCCTGCCTGCAGAACTGCACTGGAATTGCAGGATGCTGGACTCACTCTATTCTCTTAAGCTTAGTTACTGTATGAGTTTCTATAATTTAGAAACAAAAGTTGCTGAATTTCTGATCCTGAGGCAGTGCTAGGAATAGTTGCTCATCTGGACAGTGAGGTGGGTTGAGAGCACATCCCAGAGGGTCAGAATCAATGGCAGAGGATCTAGTTGAAGGCTGGTCACTAGTGGTGTCCCCCAGGGTTCAGTACTGGGCCCAGTGTTGTTTAACTTTTCCATCAGTGGCGTGGATGAAGGGGCAGATGCCTTCTCAGCAAGTTCGCTGATGACACAAAGCTGAGAGGAGTGGCTGATACCTTGGAGTGCTGTGCTGCCTTTCAGAAGGACCTCAACAGACTGGAGAAATTGTCACAGAGGAACCCTCTGAAACTCAACAAGGGCAAATGCAGGGTCCTGCACATGGGGAGGAATAACCCCATGTACAGTACACACTGGGGCTGACCAGCTGGGAAGCATCTCTGCAGAGAAGGACCTGGTGGTCCTGGTGGACAACAAGCTGTCCCTGATCCAGCAGTGTGCCCTTGTGGCCAAGAAGGCCAATGGTATCCAGGGGTGCATTAGGAAGAGCATTGTCAGGAGGTCGTGGAGATGATCCTGCCCCTCTGCTCAGCCCTGGTGAGGCCACATCTGGAGACCTGTGTCCAGTTCCGGGCTCCCCAGTAAAAGAGACATGGAGCTCCTGGAGCGGGTCCAGCGAAGGGTGGCAAAGGTGTTTAAGGAATTGGAGCATCTTTCTTAGGAAGAAGGGGTGAGGGAGCTGGGCCTGTTCAGCCTTGAGAAGAGATGACTAAGAGGGACCTCATCAATGTTTGTAAGTATCTGAAGGGAGGTTGTTAAAGGGATGGAGCCAGGCTGTTCTCAGTGGTGCCAAGCAACAGGAAAAGAGGCAACAGGCAGTAACTGATGCACAGGAAGTTCCACCTGAGTATGAGGAAGAACTTCTTTACTGTGTGGGTGACTGCACTGGAACAAGTTGCTCAGAGAGGTTGTGGAATCTCCTTCACTGGAGATACTCAAGAACCATCTGGATATAATCCTGTGCCATGTGCTTTAGGATGACCCTGCTTGAGTAGTGAGGTTGGATGAATGACCCACTGTGGACCCATTCTGTGATTCTGTCAGTTCTAACAAAGCATTTACTCAGCAGAACGTTCTTTATGCCGTAGAAATATATGTGGCATTGACTTAGATGTCTGAAGCAGTATAGAAGTGATGTTCCCTTGTATGAAACTTGATAGGCTGGCATCAGGGAGAACTCTTTTTTTTAATAAAGACTGAATACAATGTTTGACTGTTCCAATGCAGTGCTCGTCAGAAGTGTGTGCGACTTGCTTGGGAGAAGGAAAATATAAACGAAAAATGGTCAGCGACAAGATGGGCAAAGAAGATTGAAGCCCGAGAAAAGGTACAGTGTTTCACTGGATGAGGAATACTGCTCCTGCTCTGTAAAGTTAGGTGCAGTGTGATAGACTGCATGTTTTCAATTGCAGGCTAAGATTAAAGATAAAAAAGGTGTAGTTTTTAAAAGTTTCTGCTACTCACCTTCAAGTTCTTGTATTTTAACAGTAAATGTGGTTTTGTTCGGTCCTTTCTATAACCACCTTTTTTCCTGCACCATTCCTTCCAGGAAAGATGTTAAATAGTGAACTAGCTCAAGTGCAGCTAAACCTAATTTGGAGATGATCAGAATTACTTATGGAATGCTTTGAAAGACTGAATTTTACTACTTGTATATATCAGTTTCATAATTGATTCTTTTCACACAGAAAGCCAAAATGACTGACTTCGATCGCTACAAGGTTATGAAAGCAAAGCTACTACCACCTGTATGTGACTCTGAAGTGACAGCTACAAGCATTAACCCCATAAAGAAGTGGCACTCAAACACTTACCATTTTCTTTGCTTTCATAACCTTGTAGCGATCGAAGTCAGTCATTTTGGCTTTCTGTGTGAAAAGAATCAATTATGAAACTGATATATACAAGTAGTAAAATTCAGTCTTTCAAAGCATTCCATAAGTAATTCTGATCATCTCCAAATTAGGTTTAGCTGCACTTGAGCTAGTTCACTATTTAACATCTTTCCTGGAAGGAATGGTGCAGGAAAAAAGGTGGTTATAGAAAGGACCGAACAAAACCACATTTACTGTTAAAATACAAGAACTTGAAGGTGAGTAGCAGAAACTTTTAAAAACTACACCTTTTTTATCTTTAATCTTAGCCTGCAATTGAAAACATGCAGTCTATCACACTGCACCTAACTTGACAGTGCAGGAGCAGTATTCCTCATCCAGTGAAACACTGTACCTTTTCTCGGGCTTCAATCTTCTTTGCCCATCTTGTCGCTGACCATTTTTCGTTTATATTTTCCTTCTCCCAAGCAAGTCGCACACACTTCTGACGAGCACTGCATTGGAACAGTCAAACATTGTATTCAGTCTTTATTAAAAAAAAGAGTTCTCCCTGATGCCAGCCTATCAAGTTTCATACAAGGGAACATCACTTCTATACTGCTTCAGACATCTAAGTCAATGCCACATATATTTCTACGGCATAAAGAACGTTCTGCTGAGTAAATGCTTTGTTAGAACTGACAGAATCACAGAATGGGTCCACAGTGGGTCATTCATCCAACCTCACTACTCAAGCAGGGTCATCCTAAAGCACATGGCACAGGATTATATCCAGATGGTTCTTGAGTATCTCCAGTGAAGGAGATTCCACAACCTCTCTGAGCAACTTGTTCCAGTGCAGTCACCCACACAGTAAAGAAGTTCTTCCTCATACTCAGGTGGAACTTCCTGTGCATCAGTTACTGCCTGTTGCCTCTTTTCCTGTTGCTTGGCACCACTGAGAACAGCCTGGCTCCATCCCTTTAACAACCTCCCTTCAGATACTTACAAACATTGATGAGGTCCCTCTTAGTCATCTCTTCTCAAGGCTGAACAGGCCCAGCTCCCTCACCCCTTCTTCCTAAGAAAGATGCTCCAATTCCTTAAACACCTTTGCCACCCTTCGCTGGACCCGCTCCAGGAGCTCCATGTCTCTTTTACTGGGGAGCCCGGAACTGGACACAGGTCTCCAGATGTGGCCTCACCAGGGCTGAGCAGAGGGGCAGGATCATCTCCACGACCTCCTGACAATGCTCTTCCTAATGCACCCCTGGATACCATTGGCCTTCTTGGCCACAAGGGCACACTGCTGGATCAGGGACAGCTTGTTGTCCACCAGGACCACCAGGTCCTTCTCTGCAGAGATGCTTCCCAGCTGGTCAGCCCCAGTGTGTACTGTACATGGGGTTATTCCTCCCCATGTGCAGGACCCTGCATTTGCCCTTGTTGAGTTTCAGAGGGTTCCTCTGTGACAATTTCTCCAGTCTGTTGAGGTCCTTCTGAAAGGCAGCACAGCACTCCAAGGTATCAGCCACTCCTCTCAGCTTTGTGTCATCAGCGAACTTGCTGAGAAGGCATCTGCCCCTTCATCCACGCCACTGATGGAAAAGTTAAACAACACTGGGCCCAGTACTGAACCCTGGGGGACACCACTAGTGACCAGCCTTCAACTAGATCCTCTGCCATTGATTCTGACCCTCTGGGATGTGCTCTCAACCCACCTCACTGTCCAGATGAGCAACTATTCCTAGCACTGCCTCAGGATCAGAAATTCAGCAACTTTTGTTTCTAAATTATAGAAACTCATACAGTAACTAAGCTTAAGAGAATAGAGTGAGTCCAGCATCCTGCAATTCCAGTGCAGTTCTGCAGGCAGGGAATCTATTTAATGCATGATGGTGACCTAAGCAGTAGCAAAGGCAAAGCTGCAACAGCATTTACTGCAACTGCTTCCCCCCACAGAACACTGCGAGCTGCCTGAGCCTCTGTGTGACTTCCTTTGCTCCTGAACAGCAGCTATCAGCTGATACTAGTAATCAAAACTTCTATATATTCAACTATGATACCACATTCTGACAAACTTTTACTGTTAATCCACTGGTGTATGAACTTTTCTAGACTTCGCACAAATTAGTCATGAAAGGACGGCACAAGGATTTTTTTTACACAGGTCAAAAAAATGCCAACCACTCACCTGTGTGGGAACTTAAGAACGAAGTCAGTCAGCTGCATGCACTTGAAGGGCATGGCCTGCCTCCTGACACCACTGCAGGGGCCATCAACCAGTGCCTGAAAAAGGGAAAAAAAGTGGGGTTTGTAGCAGTTATCCCATTGTATTTGACATAAGAGAGCAGCTTCCTAATAATGTATGAACAGTATCTTGACACCAATGATCCAAAAGTGAAATACATGTTACATAGGCAAAACTGGAGATTATTAAGTCTTGCCTATACAACCCAAGCTTTACAGAAAGAATTTTAAAGGCCTGTCTTTGGGAAAGAAACAAACCAAACTTTAAAACAAAGCACACAGAACTAAGATAACATACTTTATCTTTTTTTCTTCCAGCTTTTTCAGAAACATTAAGTAAAGAGTCCCCTAGCCCAAACATTTGTTTTACACATACATTAATGCAATTCCATTGATAAGTTTTGGAGTCCAACTGACATCCCTTATCCAGTTCTAGGAAACAGCAGGGGAATGTATCACTTGTCAGTGAAAAACAACTTGCTAATCAAAGTTTCAAGTACAACAGCTGTTAAAACTCATCTTTTTGTAAACTGCTTATATTTTGAAAAAACTGGTCACAGGAAATTTCCTTCAAGATTGATACATGCTGCCTTAGCATACAAGCTTCTGTCAAGGCAGAAAGGAGGAAATAAAGGCACAGCACTCAAAGCTTACCCTGTTTTGGTCGATAACATCCACGATGGCCACCAGCTTGCCAGCATGTGGCCCGAAGGAGATGTAGGCAACTCTGCCAATCTCCACGAAGCGCTTGAACACCTGAGAGAGCAGGCAGGGATTGACAATTAAGAGAAAGCACACCTAAGGCCATTTACAGATTCTAGGCTCTCAGAGCCTTTAAAAGATCTTCCCAAAAGAATCGTAGAATGGTTTGGGTTGGAAGGTACCTTACAGATCATCTAGTTCCAACCCCCTGCCGTGCGCAGGGACACCTTTCACTACACCAGGTTGTTCAGGGCCCCGTCCAGTCTGGCCGTGAACATCGCCAGGGATGGGGCATCAAGAACTTCCTGGGTAACCTGTTGCAGTGCCTCACCACCCTCACAGTAAAGCATTTTTTCCTAATATCCAATCTAAATCTACTCTCTTTCAGTTTGAACCCATTCCCCCCCCGCCCTGTCACTCCATGCTGTTGTAAAGTCTTGCCCCATCAGTTCCCTTCAGGCACTGGAAAGCTTTCGAACAGCACGAAACCCCTTCGCCTGAGCAGTGGGGCCGCGGCCCCGCAGCGCTCCCAGCCCGGCCCCGCCATTCCCGCACAACGCGCCCCACGCGGGTCCCGGCCCCGGCCCGGCGCGGCTGAGGCGGCCACGGACTCCCCCCGCCGCCGCCCGGCCCGGCGCAGGGCGGCGCAGGCGGGAGGGCTCCGGCGGGGTGGTGGGATGGCGGTGGAACCGCGGCGGGAGCCCCCCCGGGAACGGCCCGGGCCGGCGGAGCGGCGGCCGTGCCGCACGTACCATGATGGCGACCCGGGGCAGAGAGGGCGGGGCGGCCCCGCCGCCGCCGGAAGCCACCTCGGCCCCGACACTGCGCGTGCGCGGGGCGGGGCGCCCGCGGGGACGCGCGCGGGGGCGGCCGCTCCGGCGCGCGATGCGCAGTAGCTTCCGGGCGGGCTGTGCCCTGGCTGAGCCGCGTCCTTGTTCCCATCGTTCCCCGTGGCTCCCTGCTCTCGTGAAAATCTAGTGGTTGAGCTTGATTTGTGGAGTACCACCGAGCACCCAGGCTTGCGGAATTCTGAAATAAATAGTGTCTCTCTCGAATGTGTAATTATTGGCTTGTTGCACACCAGGTAACGAATCCGATTTTGTGGGCAACGCCTCCCTCATTTGCTCCTACATCATCCTTCGTGTCCCACCCCTTTCATCCCTGGTGTTTGATTGCCCATGTCCCGTCCCTCTTTATTCTACTCTTTC